AATTAATAATTAATAAAATTATCGATATTAATTAATTAATATTTTTAAATATAATTTTAAAAAAATTAAAAATTATAGTCCTAATAATTTGTCTGGTGAGAATAACCACCCCCACTGAGAAAAACCATGAAATTAGATCAAAGAATAAAAGGAACCACAACGAGTTCCTGTTTGTAAGTTTCAATACGACATTATTGTCAAACTGGTGGGGACGTTGAACATGTGCTGCAATGAATGGAAGATGGGCGATCGATTGTTAAAGATTCCAACGCAATGACTAGTCTGATTTTCTAACCTAACCAGCAGTGTATGGTACAGGATAAATGTATAATTAATATATTATTTTATAATTAATTATACTAAAAATATACATATTAATTTTAATTTAATTAATTAATTTAATAAAATTATTTTTATATTAATAATATTAAAATAAATATTTATTCTTTTAATATAAACTTTTAAAAAATATATTTAATATATCTTTAATCTATGTTTTTAAAATACAAGTAAAAAAACTCTATTCATAATACTAATGCTTTAATTTACCAAAATTTTGTTTGTGTATAAATATAGTAAGAATTTACTTATACATAAATTTTATATATTATATTTATATAAAATAATTTTATATTTATTCAATAATTGAAATTTAAGAGATAAATAATTGAGATTTATTTACATTTATTCAAAATAATTTTTTATATAAAAAGTCAGGATAAGTTTGAAATATTAAAAGTGAATAAATAAATAATTGAAATTTTATGTAAATATAATATAAAAAATAATATGTGAAATTTATACATAAATAAACTCATCCTTATATATATACATATATGAAGAAATTATGGCCTTTAGATATACTCTAAAATTACGATATATTAAGTTTGTGTATTGAGATTCATAAAAAAATAAAAAAAATAAAAAATAAAGAGAAAAAAGAGAAAAAAGAAAAACAATAGTTTGTGTATTGAGACAATTTTGCATGATCAAAAGAATATTCATAAATTTGATAGTTTAAGCATTTTGATAATTATTCTATTTTGTTTAATAATTTCTCTAAATTT